CAAAAAAAAAAAAAAAGCCTCCAAGCAAATGCCAGAAAGATGCATTTTAAGCACATATGTTGAGGTTTGGTTCTAAGAATTCACTCATATCTTTGTATCTCTGTTGATCTTTGTGTCTCTGCTTTTGTTCCTCTTTGATTTATTTTTTGTTTTCTTCTATGTTCTGCTTCAAAAGATTTTAAATAAGATATCTCCAATTATGAAAAGTTTTATAGCAATTATATACTTCCTCTGACAGCGGTTCTAATTTCATGTTGCTTTTGATTATCACTTACCTGTGGATATACTAACAACTGTGGACCTGCTTTTAATCTTTATGGCAGTTATTGGCTCATAAACAAGAGTAGGGCTCTCTTCTTTTAACTTCCTTTTCCAAACATCTCCCTGAGTGCTTTACCCAAAGTCTGCTCCTAGAAAATGTCTGAGGATTAACTGAGATTTTAAAAGTTATTGCACACATGCTACATACAAATAAAACTAAGAACTCTACTTGCCTTTCATGTTCTGGAAGATGTTTCTATGTTTTTTCACACTTCAGTTTTAAAAAAAGAAATCAAGAAAGACCAAGTTGGACTTAAATAACAAAAGAAAATTTGTAAAGAGCTGAAAATAGAGCTTTTCATAGATATGAATTCCAAGTACATAGCAGCTTTCCTATGGGATTATTTTGTTGATAGAAGAATTTGTAGTTCATAATTAGGAACCCTTTAATTCATTCATTCGTTCCAACATTAGCATTTATTTAATGCCTGCTTGGCCCCACCAGAGATATACAGGGAGCTCAGACACAATCTCAGGAAACGGACACTGGCAGAAACTGAAGCTTGCTATGAGTCAGAGCTTAGCTGCCATATGTTAGAAGAATTCTCTTGTTTAAAACTGAAAGCTTTAAAGCGCAGCATATCTTGTAACTATTTTAATTAGCCTTGATTCTATTAGATAGGTTCCAAATAGTTCATGTTCTGAGAAGAACTCTGGAGAAGTGGTGTCATAATGTTTTCCTGCTCGCTGACAAGTCGTTCAGTAGCCTTGTCCAATATCATTTAAAACAGCCCGGAAAGACCCCAAAGCATCGTCTCAGCGAGCACACTCAGAGCATGCACACTGGCGAATAAGGTCTGAAACCCTAGGTCTCACTGAGACCTGTTGGGAGGCTCCCTGTGAGAACTTCCGTTTTTAAAATATGCCCTCTCCAGAGATGTTAACGTGAATGGAAGTTAAGAAACACTGAAAGTTTCGTATACGATAATCGTTATTGATTCTACGGTATTGCTGATCTGATTTGTAACTAAATGCACATTTAGCATCTGTCCCTCCCTCCCATCAGCTTGCATCACACTTTGCATCCACCAAAGACCAGTAATCTTAAATAGCGTCACTTAATCATATCTGATCATCATACTTTTGTAAGAGAACCACTTGTATAAGTTTGGAGTGAAGTAACTATCGCCTTGTTCATGGAGTTTCTTTTCCACTGTATTTTAACATAGAGGTTATCTTACTAGCTTTAGTTACACACAGGAAGATTGGATGATTTTATGGAAACTATTGATTTTTATTACCTTGAAGAATATAATAAATTTTTGTGTTCTTAAGGAACACAATAAACCTTTATAAGAAAATATTTCATACTGAGTCACGTTATGCTTAGTAATTAAATTCATTTGTTTTTTAGGAGTGTTTGAAAGGGGGTAAAATCTTGCTTTGAAAGCATAAACTTATTGAAGAATCACTTTTAAACATTCAGCAAGGGTAGGCCTTAGTGGTATTAGACAGATAGTGTTTCCTGATCCGGGAATCTAGAGTTTAGTAAAGAAGGTAGAGAGATAACAAATGATCATGGAAATTGGGGTGAAGAGTCAAATTTAGGGAAGGGAAGAATACAATGCCAACGGCACTCAAATCTCACCTACTAGTGGTTAGGGCTCTGGCCAAGACCTCCTGAAGGCAGTGACATTTAATCTGAGATCGTAGGATGGCAAAAATAGATAGGCGTGGTCCATCCTCATTACAGGAGAAATCTGCGTTTATGAATTTGTGTACTCTCTGAAATGGATCCAGAGCCTCAAATCAACACCGGTCTGGGCCGCTGGCTGATGAGCGCATGCGGACAGCACCCCAGCACTCTCCAGGTAGGTAGACCAAGGCGGTGCCCTGCTTGATTTCACCTCTCTCACTATAAACAAATGGCCTTTCCAACATTTGTTTAGTCTACATTTTTGTGCATTTTGTGCATCGGCTCTCTGTTTAAAATGACTCTCAAAGCGAGGCGTGGTGGCTCACGCCTATAATCCCAGCACTGCAGCTCTTGCGAGGTTGAGACAGGAGGATCGCCACAAGTTTGACGCCTACCTGGGCTCCATATAGAGACCCTGTCTCAAAATAAAATAAATTACTCCCAGCCATCACGTTTGATGAAGAGCTGTGTTGCGTGCCTGTGTGTGGAGGAAACACGTGTTGGTTCAGCTCCCCTCGGCACAGAGTCCAGGAATCAGGCTACTGACCATCAGCTCCTTGTGAATAAAGCAACAGAGCACATTAAATAAGATGCTTTTAAACAGACACACATCAAACGAAGTTCTGTGTTGGTCAGTTGGCAGAAATCTCGAAGCCTGACGCTGTCCCTCCAGGAGCAGTGGCTCTCTGTCCACTGACTGGCCCCGTGCCTGCTGACTCCGCTGGACTGAACTGCAGCCAATACTGTAACCAGGACTGACAGTGGGACAGGTAACTGTGGGACAGCATCAGGACTGGAACGTGGACCCACTGCCCATAGGAGTGCAGAATACCCTGGCCACTTGGGAAACCCTTTGGCATTTCTTATAATGAAATGCATACATTGGCCCCGGTGATCTCATGGTCCCATTGCTAAGTACTTACCCACATAAAGTGAAAACATATCCACACAACAACCTGCAGATGAATGTTTAGAAGCTTTATTTGTAGTTGCCAAGGAAATGGAAACAATTCAAATATCCTTCCACTAGGGGATGAATAAACAAGCTGAGGAATAGACTATTGGTAAACAATAAAAGGGAACAAATTACTGATAAACTCGTCAATATGGGGCGAATCTCAAAGGCGTTGTGCTACGTGGAAGAAACCAGAATGCAGTGACTCCACAATGAACTGTTCTGTTGAAATACAACTTTTTGAAGGTATAACTCTAGGAATAGAAAACAGATTTCTCTTTGTCAGGGTTGGGGGTAGAAAGAAAAGTATCCTACAGAGGAGAATATTGGGGGACAGGTGTCTTGATTGTGTTGGCAGTTAGACAATTAAATGCCCATGTCAAATGAGCTCAAAAAAAAAAAAAAATGCCCATGTCAAAACTCAAACTCCTTTTCACTAAAAAGCGTAAATTTCACCATATGGAAATCATGTTTTAATTTTTAATGAGATCTTCTAGTTTGCCACAGTAATATCAGAAAACACATTAAAACAGAGGGGACCCAATGTGTTCTTACTGTAGTGCTGGTTGATAAATTGCTGCTAATGTAAAATCAACCCTGTAGTAATTTATATGACATGAGGCATGGAGCAGTGTTAGCATGTTTTCTTTCTTTTTTTTTTTTAGCATGTTTTCTTTCTTTGTGTTTTGTGATGCCTAAGTCAAACAAGGTGACAGGCAGTGGTTTCTTATGGTATTTTTAGTTTAACTTTTTTCAAGTGCTGAAATATGCAGACTATACTATAGTTCTAATGCCTGCATCATGCATAAAAGGACAAAATTTTGTTAGATTTATCCAGTTAAATGGCAGTTTGACCCTGGGATAATTGAGAAAGCCGAAAAAAATCTGATAATATCACTTATCTTGCTTGCAGATGACTACTTAATGACAGGCAACTGTCATGGTTTAGCAGCTCGTGTCCTTGGAAGCAGGAAAACCCACCCCATGAGTTTTTGAGTGCCTTCCAACTCTGACAGTTACCTTTTTTTACATTTTGTCTACAATGGCTTTGCCACATAAACTTTTATATTTCAAGGAACAAGGATGTGGTACTCCAGTCACCCTTACATCCTGGATTAGGAAAGTTCATTTTGCCCCACCTGAGTCTAACCTTCGGGAGAATGGAAAGTTGGGCTTTCTGAGACTATCATTGTACTTAAGTTTTTATGAGTAATCCAACAAGCATATCAACAATTCGTCAGTATAATGTGCGCCATGTGTATACAGACTGGTCCCTCTGTCTCCCTTGTATCATTTAGAAAATTTCTTTATATGACAAAAGATGTGTCGTCAAAACATCTCAAGCTGTGTATGGCCTATGTTTCTGTACAGAGAACAAGATTATGCTTCACTCTAGATGCTGCATAAATGTCGGTGATAATTCAATGTGCATTGAAAATTAAATGGTTCTGCTTAAGATTATTATGCTATCAAAGCCATTTGTTAGGTGATTAAAGCAAATGAGATGCCACATTACATGACATAGTGGCAGAAATTTTCCATAAAGAGCAGCAGTGATACAAATTTCGAATGTGAAAATAGTAGAGATCTTTATCTTGTGCTTTTTCTGTAGAATAGTATGAATTCCAACTTTGCTGTTTTACATTTTTGACAGATTTGTTCTTTGGGATCTTTTAGAAAAACAAATATTGGCTTTCGTATTTTTTAGTTTTCTTACAGTCCTATCTAATATTCCATATCAGTAGCCCTAACCCTAAAATCTGAAGGGAAAAAACCTCCCCTCAAGAGTTAATTTAATGTGTAGCAACTGTTTCTTAAATATACACATGGCAACATTGTTTTCAAAGAGGGTAATTACAAACATGTACAGTATGTTTCTTCATTAGCAGTAATTAAATAATTTACTAAATTGTGTAATAATTTATAATGACACATGCTAATCCTGTTTTATTACAAGAGCTAGTGATAAAAACAATTTTTTGTAGCCATGCCTAGATGTTATTTGAGTGGTAATTTTTGATTTGTGAAGAAGCCAGGTTGGTTTTTTCAAAATATTTAGTAGTGCTGACTTCAAGGGAAAATTTTATAACGCTTGAGTTGTAGCATAAGAGTTCAGTGTCTACCCTAGAGTGACTTTACCTGGAGTGTTTGTTTGTTTGTTTGTTTTTGTATGATTCCACAGTTACCTAACCTTGTACACTTAGACAAATCACCTATTTCTCTGTACCCCCATTTCCTCAGCTGTAAAATGTGAGTCATAAAAGCACAGAATGTTGCTGGGGACATGGAACCTTAAAAGAGCAGAAAGTCGCTCTGCCACAGGAGAAGCCCCAGGAGATGGTCAACCAGTAGGAGAGTGTGAAACAGCAACTGGACAATATTGAATAATGATTGGAAATCCGTTTTGATTTCAGAAAATCACCTTTTGCGACACGTGGCCAAACTGGCTATTAAAAAAAAATCCAAATGTGAATTCTGGAGCCTCTGAATGGAAGGGATGATTTACTCTATCTCCATCTTATAAAACATACGAATAGTTTTTCATTTGAGGGAAGAGAGGTAATTATTTTTAAAATGCGAATCTAACATGCTTAGAAGACTTTAACATTTTAAAATGGAAATACACAGTCAAGTCTGTTCTTGTTTTAGTGCTCACAGCACACTTCCAACATGCAGGACTGGACAGAAATAACAGATGGGACTTTCGGGAGCAGAGAACAGACCTGTGACCAGACGCTGTCAGACCGGGTGAATCCCCTCCTGTAAGCTGGAGCTTAGATGTGAGCAGCAAAACCACTATTGACACGCAGCACAACTGTCTGAAATGGCAATAGTTATAAAATGAGGATTTCATAACGCAGAATAATTGATTACTTTGCTTGACTGAACAGGAGCACATTTTCTCTGTGAAAGCAAAATAATGCCAGTATTTGCTCCTGGAATGCTCCTAGCTGTGAGATGTGGGTTTCCCGCTGAAGCCTACATTACTCTCCGGTCCTGATCATGCATGACAAAAACTAGGGGGAATCATCTATAACCGCTTATCTTTTCTCCATTATTTGGAAATGTTTTAAAGATCATTCTTTTTATTTAGAAAAAAAAAAGCCTATAGAGAAAGCATCTGTATTAATAGAACTGTCTCAGATCGTTTCCAGCACTGAAATGGGTGAGACACAGAATCAAACCATATTCGGTTTATCGTGTTCATCCGCAAATGCTCTGCTTAGCTTTTCACTCTGATGAAATAACACCCATTTCCAGTTTTATTCTTCCTTGGTGTGCCCTGATGTGGAACTCTTTTGCTCTGTGTATTTTATTAAGTGTAATTTAACTTTATGACTATCAAACTAACTATTCTTACAATAAGACTATGAAATAGGCAAGCTGCAAAAAAGATTTATTTTCTAAAGCACAATTCCCTTCTCTGCCCTCGGATTTTTTTTCCAAAAATCATTCCATGAACACACACACACACACACACACACACATAGTTTGAAGCACTCTGTTCTAGGCACTTTGAGGAAAGACAGCAGAAATAGCTACAGCCTACATTCTGTGCTTTCTCCTCTCCTCATCTGTATGTATTTTATGCTTCATTACAAGTTTTCCTTAAGGGCAAAATGCCTTCTCTAGCTCCGTCCTCTCACCGGTGTTCTGTGTTCCATTACACAGGTCCTTCCTTGCCATTTCTGTCCTCTGGGATTTGAGGTGTCCTGAGATCTAGTTCAGATGCTGTCTCCTGCATGAAGTTCTCCTTGTGAAGCTGAAGGCAGACCTTATGCCAGATAACTTCTCTTATTCTTGCTTTACATTGCACTCAGTTTCAGGAACGCTTAGAATGTGTGTCACATGTTCTGTCTTACACTATGGGCATCGCATTCACTTTCCTGCTTGACTATTGCGGGCCCCTTGAAGGACAGACTGCTGTCTTGATCTTTCCCTCCCCTCTGCATGCCCCAGCATAGGGAGATGGGTGCTTAGCCACTGCTCATTGGATGGCAGCTTTCTCTCTTATGGGAAAAGGGACATAAAAAGGCTGCCAGCCCACAAGGTCTCTCAGGCCTATGGGTAATTTAACTTTTATTTATTTTTTATCCTCTGTATTAGCAAGTGCTTAATAAATACTACCTGCTTTACACACACAGAGTTCCACAATTATACAGAGTTTAGCAAAATTGCATCTGAAGGTGATCTCAACACATTTTTTTCTGAAGGCTCGGTGTTTGAGGCCAGGCATGGGCTGTGTGTCACCGTCAGGGCTGGTAGGGATGGTGCTAACAGCCTCTTCTAATCCGTTTGAAGAGATATCCACCTGTTCTTTTAAAATATTATTTAATTTAACCATCTCAGTGGCCCTGCAAGACTCTACTCTTCTTATACATGTGCTGAGGTAGATCTGCCTAACGTCATTCAGCTCCTGAGTGGGCTGGAGGACGGTTTTGCTCCCAACTTTGTCTCTCGTGCCGTGGAGTCCAGTGAAACAGAGACGGCTCCTCGGAGAGGGGAGTAGACTTAGCACAGCACAGAGATCAAATGACAGTGACCCCGCAGAGCGGATGGGAGGCGATCCTGGGAGTGAGGGGCCTGGTGTCCTGAGAAGCGACGTGATTTGCCCATGGTGACACAGAAAGCTACCAGGGACGAGTGTGAAACTGGAGTCCAGGATTCCAGGTTCTGATTACTCTTGTATTTCCTATAATCCCTTAATTGAAAACCAATTATTTCCTGAATGGCCTGTTCCCCTGCCAGCTCTAAGCATGGGGTGAGGACACCCCTGGAGCACAGAAGGATGGATGGAGGCCCTCCCGCCCCAGGCCTGTATCTGTTTGCATGTTCCCTTGGCAGGTGTCTGTGCAGACAGGCCCCGGCTGCCCACCTGTTCTGAGGCAGCTGCCTACCTCTATATGCCTCATGAACTTTACCCTTTTCCTCCTTGTGATGGTTACAAAACATGTGTCAATCCTATGAATTTCCTAATAGTTGCATGTAATACTAGGTGTCAGAAATCCCAGAAGCCCTGCGCCACTGTCCCCAGCCAGCCAAACCTTTTATCTCCAACACTCAATTACACTAATAGCCACACTAACGATTTGCAGCTGTCTATCAACCATGGGGGGCAAAAAGCTGTGCTGACATCTTTTCAACCGCCGGCCAGGGGCCGAGGATTTAGCTCAGTGTTTCCGCTGCCTGCCTCTTATGGAGCCAAGTTCGATCCCAGTGCCAAAAACAAACAAACAAAAACAGACAGCCGGGCCCTGTGTTCCTTCAGGAGCATCCACGCTCTCTCTGAGAACTAACCTGGGTAGAGTTTCGGAGCAGAGGTAAGCTGAAGAGGAAGATGCTCCAGTCCAGGGCTGCTGTCTTGTCCTGATTCCATTCTCCAGCACAATGCCAGGCATATAATAGCTACTCAGTAAATGTGGTTGATTATGAAAAATGTGTGTGCAAGCATGCACACGTGTGTTTAAAATTGAACATGTATCTTGCCACCAAAATACAGCTTATTTCACTGTATTTCATGGGCTCTGGATATTTAACTCTTTGTTTCAAAATCATGAATAGGATAGACCAACCATATTAACAGGCTCATTTTCCTCCCCCTCAACACTCATAAATAAAGGGGTCTTTCCCTCTCTCTCTCTCTCCCTCTCCCTCTCTCCTTCTCCCTCTCCCTCTGCTTCTCCCCTCTCTCTCCTTTGATTTTGGTGTCTTACCAATATTATTCCATTCATAAATAGTCCCATGAGACACTGGCTTCTGCAATCTGTGTAGGAAGACTCATCTGGTCTGACCCTGTCGCATTCATGAGAAGCCTGGTACCCTGGCTCTATTTTGGCCAGAGTGGTCCAACCTACAAAGATCACAGAGTGGTGGTGGCTAAGGACTGCTGAACCGAGCTGCCTCGGACCACAGTAGCCTTTCACTGATCCCTTTCTTGTTCAGTTAGAAAGAAATGTATTCACTTAGCAAGCTGCCACACACCCAGGAGAGAGAAGGACCCAGGGCCCTGGCGAAGGGAACCAAAATGCTCCCTCACATGCATCAGAGAACTTTGAAATCACCTTCCTCCTACAAGCCCACTTGCACATGTGGGAGAAGTCGTCCCTCCATGGGTTGGACATTCTCCCCAGCAGCATTGTATGTGTGACTGGGGTTGCGGGTAGACCCTAAGACCAGACCCTGTGTCTGGTCAGATCCAACTACACTCTCATAAAGTGTCATTTCTTTACTTAACCTCTCGCGATTGGCACCCATTTATTGACAATACTTAAATCTAGACACCTGCAGACGTGTGCCAGGAGCAATCTGGTATAGAAGTCTTTCTCCTCCCACTAAATGCCAGATCCAGTGTGAAACCAGCATACGGGGACACCATGTGGGATTGTAGCCTTCTCTTGGGGACCCCAGGAGGGATTGCATGTGTTTATAAGTATGCTTTCTTTCAGAGATTAGCCGACAAACATTTGAGTTGGGATTATTATAGAGCGTACATCATTCATAATAGAGAAGTTTTGGCCTGTTTAATTATCTTCATGGAAGCAATATTCTTTTTTTCTTTTCAAAATGCTTGGTACAAAGAAAAAGATGTTGCTTAGCCCTAATTCCCCCCCATAGTGGGCACTTTAGAAGGATATGTTCAATAAAACCCAAATGGTTATTCCTACATACTTACTGTATTTCAACGTTGTATTCTATTTCCATGGTATTTTATTTTAATATATGGTGGGTTAGAAAATCTGTATTGAAGTGTATCGTTTATGACTCCGGTTTGGTATTACTGAAAGACAAATGTGCATCTTTTCATTTTTGGCTGACTTGGTTGGCTAGAGACTTACAATTCCATAGAAAATTTGTATTTCAAGTGTTTTTTTTTTAAAAAACATAGCCTCTCATTTTTATTTTCAAAGTTTAGTGAAAGCTGTGTTAGTAGAAAGAACAGTAACATACCCTGGGTTAAAAGCTGAAGACATCATAGAGGCATGTTTTACAAATAGCATCTAGCCACACAGGAAGGTTAGCACTTCATATCTGAAATTCTGCTGCTTGTTGTAGGATGTGAATGAAATATGTTTCTAAAGGGCAAGGTCAATATTACATTATCCTGGAAATGTCTTTGTTGAATAAATGTGCAACTATTTCAAATAAGTATTATGAGATTTTATTTCTATTGGGGACATTTCTATAGGAGAAATGATTCTTCTGTTTGTAATTGTGGGAGCCCATGTCACGATACACGTCCTTCCTCATGAGCGATTTCATCTGAAATGGTCTGGAAATAAATATGAATTGTAAGTGATGTAAGACTATTTACC